CCCAGCCAGCTTGCTGGCTGGGGAATTCTGGGAGTTGAAGTCCACCCATCTTAAAGTTGCCCAGTTCGAGAAACAGTGATTTAGAGGGTAAGATACATTGCACTGTGTCTTGATTGACTGGGACAATTCATATATACTGTAAATATAATGAATTAATTCAGTCTCCCTGGTTTGCTTTCAGCTTAGCTCCGATGCTTTTTCAACCCCACAAGATTCCCAGCTGACATAGCTGTGAATTCGAGGAGCTGAAACCATGTTTGGGACCCTCGGAGGGAGGGCTATCCATTTCTTGGGCTCCAGAAGTAGCAAGGGGGTCTCAAAGAAATCCATGGTTATTTTCTCAAAAATGTGGGTGCCGAGGGAGTCTGGACTAGACGAATCTCTGAATGCGAGATGCTCTGAAAATTGCAACTTCTGAAGTCCAGGTTGGAAACCCTGGAAGTAAATGCAGAATTCAGAACCCGTCCTTCCCGTAAAAATTGATCTCTTGGTGATGATGGCGCTCCTTCCTGAGATCGTCCTTCTTAAATTTTGCTTCCCTAGGAGCAAAGTTCTTCAAAGTTCTTAGAAGCAAATTTCTTCTTCTGAAATGTATAGCTTGCCTTATCTCCAGGAGCGGAAGGAGGCTTATGTGGGGAATTCCCTTCCTTTTATCCCCACAACGACCCCCCTGTGAGGTAGACTCGGCTGAGAGATTCTGGTTTTTGTACCACAGATTGAAATCCCCCTGACTGACCATGGGCTGTGCAAAGAAGCCTACGCCAGACTGCAGAAAATCGTGACTAACGATATGATTTGTGCAGGAGAAGAACAAGGTAAAATACAGACCAGGTGCAGAACTCATCTCAAATTCTGAACTAATTTTCCTGTTCTTTCATTTCTTTCTCGAACCCCTGAGGCTGGAGTGGGGAGAAGGGGAGAACTTCTTGGAGTAACTTTTCTGCACTAATTTCCCAGGGTATAAATATTTCCCCCTTGAAGAAAACAATTAAGGGAGGCAGATGGATGTGCTTACAAGGCAGGCAAGTTTATGAAGCTTTTCTCCTGCAAGTTCTGTTTCAGAATAGACCTAGGACTGTTGAATTCACACAATGCACCCAACCTTGTAGTAACCTAGGGGGTTGTGTCACATTAATCCCGCCAACTTATATAAAACAAGGTTGCATTCACAGATCTGGTTATTAAATCACCCTTCTTTTCTGGGCCAGGCAATACATGGATCTATAAACTAAGCAAAAGAGTAGGATTTGGACAATCTAGAAAGTCCCAGGAAAAACAAATCAAATTTAACACTAAGTCCAGGGCGTGGGGTGAATGCAGTGCCTTGGACTTGAACCGACTTGATTATGTGTTTATGTGGGTTTCAACTGTTTAACCGTTTTGGGGGATTTGTAAGCTGTCCAGAGTCTTCTGGAGTGGAGGCCATAACAAATCTAATTAATTTAATTTAATTTAATTTAATTTAATTTTAATTTTAAATTTTAAATTTTAAATTTTAAATTT